GTAGAAGGTGCATGATTTTACATAATTTGTCAGCTTTTTTCTTCCGAATACTTTAATATTATTTCAAAATGAAAGGAAACTATTTCTATCAAATGTGTCAGTCCTTCCAAGCTAATTTTTATCATTTTAAATAAATTTTTTTGAAAAATCATGTACCTTCATCAACAGTTCAAAGATGGAATAACACAAGATATGATGAAATACATCAATTTATTTACATGATTTGCAGGTCTTTGAAATTTGGGAAATAATTTTTGTTCCATGTTTCATACATGGTCTGTTTAAAATGTATGTAACTTTAGAACCAAAAATGGTACAGAAAAAAGGTAAAGGTAAAGTAGTTTCATAAACTAGAGTACATATGTATCTGTTGAATAATTTTTTATATCAGATGCATTAACTTGAATTTTTGGCCTTGCTGTATTTTTCTGCTTGACCGGGCCCACAGTAAAGAGTAAGTCATAGCGCCTCCGCCTACTTTGAATGTGACACATATTCCTCTAAATGTAATAATTAGGAAGCCCCCTTATGTGTGCACATCCCACAGACCAACCAGTTTGTTTCATTATAAGAGCCTGATGTTTGTCAAACATTATCAGACAGAATTTTGTAAATGCACTTTTCAACAGTTTTCAACTTCCTACAAAAGTCACACTGTGGCAGTACATTTTTGTACACCTCAAATATATTTGGCTATATATTTCAGATTTATTTTTTTTTTGTCGTTCAATCTAGATCTTACCTTTCATTAATATTTAAAAATGTGTGCTCAAAGATACCTTACCCAATCTGTGTATCATTCGTTCATTCGTTTTTCAATATAAAAAAACGAAAAAAACAACAGTTTTCTTCGTTATTTGTCTCCAAAACCAAAATGAAAAAACGGATAATGATTCGTTTTTTTCAGTTTTCGATTTTGTGTTTAAATGAAGAATGGAAAAAACGGATAACGGCCGTTTCCCGTTTACGTGACTTCCGTGACTGCGATGCCGGACTTTTGCACCGCATACGGACTGAATCAGGACGGATCCAGGTCCGAGACCAGACCGAGACCAGAGTGGGACTGAGACCGGGACCAGAGCGGGACCAGAGCGGGACCAGAGCGGGACCAGAGCGGGACTGAGACGGGGACCAGACCGGGACTAGAGCGGGACCAGGTCGGACTCCGAGCTTTGACTCTGAGCCTCCACGGGGTCCGAGCCTCAGCTTCGAGCTCCGGCCCTGCCGTGGGCTCTGAGCCTCCGGTCTGGTCCCGGTCTGGTCCTGGTCTTGTCTCGGTCTTGGTCTCAGGCTCGCTCTGATCCCGGTCTGGTCCTAGTCTCAGTAGCGCTTTGGTCCCGGTCTGGTCCCGGACCAGGTCCATTTGAACCAAAAGCTCTTATTTCGATTCATTTTCACTGGTGTGAATTCGTCAGTCTGAGGCTTTGCGCCACCTCGAAACCAGCCGCGGTTCTTGAGCGCGGAGAACCAGAGCAGCTCTGTCCCGGTCTCAGTCCCGCTCTCAAGATTTGACAGAAAAAATTCTAGGAATTTCACAGACTTTCCAACATATTGGTCATGAAAAATATTTTGTCAACTCCCCCGTGACCCGTTCTGAGCAGAGTTGTCCAAGGAGCCACTTTCAGATTGTTGTATCTAAAAAAAACTACTTAAGGTCCTTCAAATTTTCAAGGGTTAAAATTTGGCAAATGTACTTGTAGAATCTGGACTTTTACCATGTGCTTTGGGTTTATCATAGATTTCTGAGGGCTTAAGTTTGCTTGAAAATTCTACTCTTCAAATATGAGAGCATCTTTGAAGGACTGTGGAAAGTGCAAAGTTTCAAAGACAGATGTTTGTTATTGAACATACTAGAGCCCAACCGATATGGATTTTGTTGTGGCCGATATGAAACCAATATAATGGGAGTTGGAGCTGCCGATGGCCGATATAATCGCCGATATATTTAGTGATGTAAAAATTCACTGTAAATCTTGAATTGCTTAAAAAGGTTTGGCTCTGGTGGATTTTAAATTGGGTTTATTTAGGCAACGTCTATTGTTATTCTGCCTCTTTACATCATATTTAGAGACAGAAGTTCGGCCTAATGGAATTTTTGCATCACATTTTAGCTACTAGTGATGGGTATTCCAGTTCTTTTTAGAGAACTGGCCCTTTTCGCTTGGCTCACTAAAAGCAGCTGGTTCTTTTGGGTCCCAAGCGGCTCTTCAGATTGTTTTGTTGCAAGCAGGATTAAACCAGAACTGAACCAGGACTGAAAAAGGACTAACCCAGGACTAAAACGGATCTAAACCATGTGTAAAACAGGACTAAACCAGAACTGAACCAGGACTGAGTGTCAGGACTCGGTCTCTATCTCTCTCCCTCTCTCAAGGCCAAGATTAGACCTGGTTTATTTATTTTATGCTGAACTACAGCCAAATATGCACGTTTTTTTCCATCCTATGCATAGGCGTAATTCTGAAAGTTTCCTTTTCAGCCGCTGCCGCTGTCAAACTACCATGAGTCTGCACGCGGCGTGAAGAGAAAAAAAGTGAGAGAAAGAGAAAACACGGCTCCCAATAAGGAGCCGGCTCGCGGCCGACCCATCACTACTAGATGTAAAGAAACCACCGCTATTAGCCTTTAGCCGTAAATACGTGCGCGCCAGAGTAATTAATTATATGTGCAAGTATCATCATTCACACGTCTATTCACAGCTCATTTACATATCAATGCAGGTCCGGTAACAAATATACAGCCAATATAGTCACTTTACAATAGACCAATAGAAAACTGTTTATGTGCGAGAGCTACAGCAGCTAATCGCTAGCTAATGAGAAAAAAAAAAAAACTAGCTTCAGAGTCGACATATTTCCAACACTCACCGCTCACACAGGCTCCTCCTCACATCACAAGTCTGCACTAATAAATGTCCTTTTAATCCAGACTCAAACCGATTGTCCGTAAAAAGAAAATAATCTCAGTGTTTGGATCCATGTCTGCAGGTGTAAGCAAACATGTGAGTGACGTGACTCTGTGGTGTGTTCAGGGACAGTACGGACACACACACAGACAAATGACTCCGCAGATAAATACTGATGCGGAACCACATATGAGGACATTTATCTGTCTGTAAATTGGATTAAATGAACATAATGTAGAGAGTCTAAGCTTTATAATGAGGTAACATGCCCACGGGAAATATTGGCCCCTATCAGCAAACATATCGGCCGATAGCCGATATGCGTCCAGGTGCCCATATTGGCTGATAATATCAGCCAACTGATATATCGGTCGTGCTCTAGAACATACACCTTCCCACGTGTGTACTTTGTATTTTAAAACTGACCCTCTGTGATGAATGCTCTAGAAGATATTAAGTGATAAAAATGGAAAAAATAAATTGGTGCCATCTTTACCATGTTATACCAAAAAAAATGACAGCACCCACCAACATAAAATGGACTGTTTTAGAAAGACTAGATGTCTGTTTTTAACATATCCAAAATTTGTGGTGGTGTTCTGCCTTATTTTCGCAAAATACATTTTTGAAAATGTGGTGTCCGCATACATGCAGAGCATTCATGGACTACGAAGGCACTTTCAGTTCACTTGACCCTAATGTTAGTTTTAGTTTTATACAGACTCTGGATTGTATTGTTCTGTTTTAATAAAAAGGTCATACATCAGGCAGTGTAGAACATCCGTGTGGACTTTACTGTTCCTCTTTGATTCACTCTTTGCTCTTCAGGTTCAGACACAAAGACATGAGCGAGAGGGAGTGCCGTGACATGGGAATTCTTTTATAGTTGAGTGCTTAAACTGGGGCAAAGATTAACCCTATAAAAATACATCGTTCACGAGGGCACTTAAAGATGTATTGTGTAACTGTTTTTTGGTGGAAGGTTCGTAAATGCTTTTCCCATTAAGATGTTATTGTTTGTCTGGAAGGCCAAATTACAGCAGCAAACAGCAAATAAACAGGGGCAGTTGTATTACAAAACCGCAGCATAGATATGGCATTCCCCTGACGTGGCCCACAGACTTACTGGACATGCTCAAATCTTTGGTCTCCTGGGTCTCGTGGCCACACTTGGGGCAGGGAGGTGCTTTGCCCTTTTCCTGTTTGAACACTTTGCTCTTGGCGTGGTCGTCACAGTAACAGGCCTGCAAGAAAAAACACGAGGTTCATACCAATATCATGGGTGATTATAATTCAGGAAAAGACTATAGTTCATTTATTTTACATGTGTCAATCAGCCATTTTAATCCGTGTATCATTCGTTCATTCATTTTTCAAAATAAAACCAAAAATTTGAAAACAAAAACACGACTATTTTCGATTTTGTGTTTAAATGAATAATCGAAAAAAATGACTGAACTGAACTAGGACTGATCCCAGGATTGAACCAGGACTAAAACAGAACTAAACCTGGTCTAAACAAGGACTGGAGCAAGCCTAAACCAGGACTAAACCGTTCTCAATCCTGGTCTCAGTCCCAGTCTGGTCCCAGTGTCAGTGCTGCTCTCAGTCCTGGTCCTGGTCCAGTCCCGGTCTCAGTCCCAGTCTCAGGACCTCCGGGCCCGTCCCGACACTCAGTCCTGGTGTAATCCTGGTTTAATCCTGGTTTAATCCTGGTTTAATCCTGGTTTCGTCCGTATGCGGTGCAAAAGTCCGGCATCACAATTTAAGTCACTGAAACGGGAAGCCATTATCAGTTTTTTTGATTATTCATTTAAACACTGAAAAAACTAATCGTTATCTGTTTTTTTCATTTTGGTTTTGGAGACAAATAAAGAAGAAAATAGTTTTTTTGTTTTCTTATTTTTGATACACGAATTCATTTTGTTTATCAATGGGACAGTCGACTTTCTCACACACAGCAGCAAAAAAATGGAGCACTAAATATAATTATATTATATTGTTTGTATGTATGTTTATACATTAGGGTGGTTTTAATAGGCAAAGGGAGGGAAGTGTACAGTACTATACACTGAATTCTCTGTAGTACTGTAATGTTTGGTTGAAAAGGTGTTGCTCTAGCTGATCGTTTTAGCACATGATCTAAATAATATACAGTAATGGTCACATTTTTATACAGCACTTTTCCACCTAAAAGCTTTTGACAATAAGGAACAACTCACCCATTCACACACTCACTCACTCACACACCAGTGTACGCAGACACTGGGGCTGAGGTGGGTTAAGTGTCTTGCCCAAGGATACAACAGCAGCATTCATCTGTGGAGCTGGAATCAGACCAGCCAACCTGTGGGTCAGTGGATCTGACCAAGCAGTGATGTTTATGTGGACACAGAGCCCACACTCCCCTACAGGCACTTCTCAAACTCCAGCTGTGCTCGTGGCAGAGATGGCCTTACTTTCATATTTATTTCAAAGAATCACCTACTCATCTGTTGTTGTTTTTTTTTCTTTTCTTTGAACAACACACAAGAAACATGTTTTGTATAATGTAATGCACAAAAATTTTTTTTAGAAGATAATGATGAATTTTAAATCTTGTATTTATGGAAATTAGAATGAATTCATTTTGATTGTTTTAGATGTGTAATGATGAATTGGATTATTGTGGTTATTTTAAGGAAACACTGTTACTGATGAAATGTTGTTGTTAGAGATAATGTAAATAATTTCTTTAATGTATTATGCCCAACCAAGGACTGCAGATGGAAAGGAGCTTGTAGCTAAATCTGGCACAGAGCATCTTTTCTCTGAGAAGACGACATTTGACGACCCTCCCTTGTTTCCCTTTTCTCCCTTGTAGAAAACGGTGACGGACTTTTGGAGAGTGAAACTTATGAAGGTGAGAATGCCGGTGATGTGTCTGTATGGAGTCCTGCGATATCCGAACAAACTATCCGGGACTTTATACTCGATTATGAACCAAAATTGCCCAGAAATCTGGATGTTGCTCAGGCGAATCCTTTGAAATATTTCAGTCTTTTTTTCAAGGTTGCTACAGATTGCTACAGAAATAAACACTTATGCAGAGCTCTGCGCACAAGAAAGTAACCAAGATGACAAATACTAGACACCCACTGACAGGGAAGAGTTTTATTATTATATTATAATTTTATAATAATCTAAATTAGTTGAATAAGTTAAGTAAGTTGAATAAGCTAAATGAGTTGACGAAGTTAAAAGGGAAAAAATTAATTAGGTCCAAACAGGTGTACCCTTGGCTATACTGTATCTGGTGATATGAAATCTGTTTAAATACTTTGACAAATATATTTTTAATTATTTAAATGAATATAGTACTCAGAACCTGCATGTATCAGATGCTGAATGTAGTTTTCGGTTTTCGATTTTGCACCTGACCAGGTAAACTCTCATTTTCAGTGAGCTGTTATAAACCTGTAAATGAGCTGAATCACATTTAAACATCCATAAATGAACAATTCAGAGTCTAAGGTTTCCAGAGATACTGAATATGTCTGTGTTACAATTAAATTCATGAGTGTGAAAATCATTTATAATCACTCGTGGAAGTCTGTTTTCTTTTATGCAGTTATGCTCTATGTGTAGCTCTAGTCATATATGTACGGGTTGTTCCTACTAGGCGTCCAAGTGGGAAAGAGTTAATGTTTTCTGTTCAGTGTCCTTGTTTTAAATAAATGTATAAATACAAAATAAATCAAACGAGTCCTTACATTAGAGCATTAGAGAAGTTAAATCTGATGTCTAAGAGTATAAGAGTTACGTTTGCTGCACCCATTTGTATTTTAAAATATGGAGTCTGACAATAGTGACTCACCTTACAGCGCAGACATGAGTGTTGGCCCAGTCTGTTGCAGGAAACACCTAAAACAAATTAAGAAATCTAGGATCAATGAACTCTGTACATGTAAATACCCTGCAGACATGAGTAATGATTCATGTGTGTGGAATTACTCAATTAAGCATAAATTGCAGACTCAGACTCACTCACATTTGAAAGTTTCTGCCTGAAGGACCTGGCAGCTGGCCTGGTGCTCAAACTGATCATCCTCGCATAGGAAGTTCTGACAGAAGGAACAACGGAAGATCCTCCCTCCTGTTGGAAGTGGAAACAAAGTGAAGCCGCCGTGTTTCTCCTCCAGTAAGAGAGACAACAGAACGCAGAGTTACCGTGATCCCAGACGCCCCGGTCACACTCGATACAGTCTGCATCAATGAGGGGGCAGGCGCACGCGTGAGTGCTCAGGCATTTCCGACTGTGGCAGACCCAGGCCTCGCAGAAGTCACACACCGCCCCCTGGTGGACGCACAAACACACACACACAAACAGTCAGAATTGAAGGAGTTTAAATAAATGAACTAGAAGAAATACTGTAATCTAGGAAAAGGTAAACAAAATTATTCTCAAATAATAAGCTTTACTTTTCAAACTTCGTATCAAAGTGGGAGTTAAAATAAATGTTAAACTTCAGCCTAAACCCCTTTGGTCTGTAGAATAACTGAAGTTTTAAGATTAATTTTTGTGTTATTGGTGATTTAGGTTAGGTTGCTTTATTCATACCCGTAGGTAAATTTGCTTTGCAGATTTGAGAGGAAGGTTCCACATTTCACATTTCAAACAGCCACATTATATGCAAAAAACACATATAAAAACACAATTACAAAATAAAGTGTGACAGTGCTCCAGTGCAGAATGGTTTGTTCCATAAAGAATTAGTTAGATTCATCCATCACGCTTGGCTAAGATCACAGCAAATATTGTATATGTTAAAAACACACAATATTTAGATAAATAGATTACAATTTCGACGATTCGTTCTAGATCGTGCGACTAAAAGCCTCTGACCAGAGAGAAGCAGCTGAAACTCTGAGTTTAGTGGATGTTGCACGTCTCTTAAAATACTCTGGGACATCCTCTGTACCCGTCCTGAGTACAGAGAGTCCAGGCCGCTGTTAGGATGGACAATCACCACGCCCATTTAACCAACAGATTCAGGAAGTTCTTGTTTTTAGCAGAGACGCTCCCAAACCATGAGACCAGTGAAAACGTTAAAACTGAGTCCATAAACGTTTTACAGAACAGTGTCATCGTGGTTCTGTCTTCATGGTAAAAGGACGACTTCCTCAGACAATGAAGGCGCTGGTGCCTCTTTTACACTACAATTATCGTCAAAGCTCAATTCTGAATCAGTGAGTGTTCCAAGATACTTATACGAGTCCACACAATCAACTGACTGCCCCTTTATCTCCGTGACATCATACTGAGGCGCTCGCTTTCGTAAGTCGATAATCATATCCTTCGTCTTGGATACATTTAGGAGCAGATATGACTCTTCACACCATTTTACAACGTCCTCAACAACTGGCCCATGTTGGTTAATCATTGTAACATGATTAATGACTGATTTAATGAATGGATTTATCTATTTATTTATAACAAGGACAGTGCATATTGACCAACATTACAACTGTGTAATATGGCAAAGTTTAGTTTAGTTTAGGTTAGTTTCCATCTCTAAGCTTTTGTCAGATGTACAGAAAGAATCCTAAAAAGAGGAATTACAATGAGATAAAACAATAAAACTGTTCAAATGTAGGTAAGTTTGCACTACAGCAGTAAATCAGGCAGTCCTCCTAACCCCTGACCCTCCAGACAGAGACACAAATATAAGTGAAACGTGGGCAGCAGCAAAAGAAAAGTTTCAGACTTGAATACAAGCAACATTAAAATATGCAGGATACATCTTAAGACCCACTTTTATTCTCTGGCTTTTTAACATTGCGTGAGTTGTGTTGTCCTCTGTGTCTTTTATTTATTTTTATTTTCTTTTATTTATTGTTTTTAACTATTTTAATCTTTTTAGTACTGCTTTTACTTATTGATTTTATTATTTTTATTCATTGATTTTATTATTTTTATCTATTATTTCTATTTGTTCCTTTTGTCTGAAACATAATTCTGCTGACGTTTTAGAGTTACATGTTTTACGTTACTGTCTTGTTTATAAAATGTGCCATACAAATAAAGTTGGACTGGTTTGGATTAGTAAGTGGCAGACACAGGACAAAAGCTGCATAATTTACAGATAGTTAAACACTGTAAAAGCATTTAAGAAGAACAGAACAGATGCACAAACACACATGCACAATTAACCACAAGATGACAGCGACAGGGATTTAGGACCCGCCCCAAAGTGCCCACCCACCAGTTTCTCTTTAGCCAATCACATCAAACCTGTCAAAATGACGTATCCAACTTGCTCCAGGTAAAACCAAAACAAGTGTCATGCAGGAGAGGGAAGATGTCGATAAAGGAATTTTGCAGTTTTTGCAAAAAATAAAAATAAAAATTGCACATTAAGGGCATTAAAAACCACCATCACTGTCCACCAGCACCACAATGTTTGCTTTGCTTCATGTAGGCCATAGACCAGGGATCTCCAACCTGTGGCTCAGGAGCTACCAGTAGCTCTCGCCAAGAGATTCAAGAATTATATGCAATGTGCTGAAAAACGCAAATTGTTGTAAATGGCTATTACCACTGTAAATGTATAATTTTGATGCCCAATGTGAAGAATCCCTCAGTCCAGGTAGAATCCATGGCAAGGAGAAAATTCACTTTGTCGACTGGACAAAAGTTAGTTTGGTTGAAGACGTTTCGCAGCTCATCCAAGCTGCTTCTTCAGTTCAGAACTGATTGGGTGAGCTGCGAAACATCTTCAACCAAACTAACTTTTGTCCAGTCGACAAACTGAATTTTCTCCTCGCCTTTGATGCCCAATGTGCAGTAATAAATGGTTTATGTTTTATGAGCATCTAACTGTACCCAATCTAAGGCTGTGTATCTTTTATATACTCAGTTTCTTTAAAATGAGTAGCTCTCTGGTATTTTTGTTTTTTGTAAAGGTAGCTCACTGGAGGAAAAAGGTTGGAGACACTGCCACAGACTGTATATATGATATACTGTAACTGTATATATGTGACTGTATATATATGACATAAATACAGTCTGTGGTGTAGGCCTGGAGCTTGGGGTTGTCGTCATGTTGCCTGAAACTCCTGCCCCTGCCACTGAAGTCCTGTGATTGAGCTGACCGCTGCTTAGGGCAAATTTAAACCGTACAGCAGAAGCACCTCAAGGTTAGAGTAAATGTGTAAATGTTCCTGATGGAGACTGGGATGGTGTTCTGCTCTTTACAAGCTCTGATGAGAGTGCTGATTGGCTAAAGGCTCTTTATAAGAGGAATGACACAATCTCCTCTAGATGATTATTATTATAAATGTACATTTTATTTTGCAGTGGAAGTCTCTCTATGTTTGGAATCCTGACCTGAAAGTTTTGGTTAGCTGCTACTTCACTGCCATGATCAGGTTTCCCAGGGTAAAGACATGGACAACTTGACACCGTCATAACTTACCACCATCGCCATTCCAGTGGTGTAGACGCCTGGATGTTTGATGACACAATCTGAAGGCTTCATGCACTTCATTTTACCTGAGATAAATCAAAACACAAAACCAAACTTAATTTGTTTTACAAGTGGAATTAGAATAAACACAAAATGACAAGATTTACTGACCACACTGAGCGCACACGGGCAGCTTCTGGACAGCCGAGCAGAAATAGCAGAAAGCCCTGTTCTTCTGTGTCCTACAAACACAATATTAATGTGCATATGACACATTTTTATGCCTAATTTTGACTTAATTTGGTGGGATTATAGCAACTGTAAATATAAATTATAGTCAAGAAATCAAGAAACAATTTGTGAAGAAAAGCTGAAAAATACGCTGAAAATTACAGGAAGTTAAGAGTTAAGAGTTAGGGAGCTACCACTACGTGACATCACAAGGTGGATCAGAGCATTTTGAACTTTGAAGATGTAGACAAGTAGACTAATAACAAGCTCAAGATATATTTTTGATGACGGAACATGGCTTAAAGCACACAAGAATAATTTTTTTGTAATACACTAGTAGAACCTTAAAATCTGTCTCAGTATTTTGTATCCAACTGCAGTTTATTCTGAAAAAAAAACAAAAACTTACCTCTGGCACTTGTCACATTCCTAAAAAGAAGACAAAAAGCAAGTTAACAAGATGACTTTGATGGCTCCACAGACAAAATGTTCGCTGCAAACTTGGGATGATTTAGGCAGTCAAAAGTTTCTTGTCCATCCCGTGGATCAATCCTGCCCATCACCTTCGCCTTTCACTATTTTTCAATTCCGCTGGGAAGGGAAACAGTTTGAACAAAGGTTTGCAGTCACACACATCTGATTCCCTTTTGCAGTTATGGAGTTCGCAAACAAATTTCTCAAGCCGTTTTCCGCTGTTAGGATCCAAAAACCACACAATTACGATGTCTGAATCCCAAAACTAAAATATGACAATATCAGAATCAGAAACAAAAGCGATATGGTTCAAAAGATTAGAAAAGATCTGCTTTGGCAATAAACGCACTAGGAAAACAAACATGGCGGTTTGATGCTCACTTCCCAGTATGCAATGCGCAATGAGCGGAAGTCCGAGATTCTTGATGCGTGTATTGAAGTCGTGTCTGAAAGGAGCCGTGTCCACTCACCATATTGACGTTGCAGGGATGTTTAGCCACATCAACATGTTTTTTATTCGCTCGAATCTGCTTCTCTCTCTCCTTACGATTCTCAGCCTTCTTACGCGCACCTGTCTTCTTTTTGGGCATTTTGGGCACAGATTTTCACCCAGCAGTTCCCCTGCAGAGAGAGAGATGTGCACATGTGAGTATGCTTTTTTAAAGTTGCACAACGTCATATAGAGCTGGTGGAGGGTCTGTCAACTGTATCTATCTCTTACATTTATTCAATTACAGGTGGCCAAAAATTCAGTTCAGTTCAAGTTCATTTATCAAATCAAAATCAAATCAAACTTTATTTATAAAGCGCTTTTCATACAAACTGTAACACAAAGTGCTTTACAGTGATTAAAAAACAATCCCACATTTTCCATCCACCCACCCACCAACCCAATACCCACACCTGCCCGACCCCACACAACCAAACAACCCAAACACACACATGCACACACACACAAACACACACACACTAACATGGTAAAAAAAACACAAAACTACACCAAGTAGAATGTGAGGCTGAATACAGGCGAACCAGTTGAGAAAGCACCATCAGAGGAGCCGTCTACATCAGGAGCAGAGAGTCGTCCACCACCACCAGGAACGACCACAGGGCCCAGGGGAGAGATGAATCCCAGGCACCATCCCTCCACCAGGAGCCCACAGGACAGACCCGGTAGCTACAGCTGACCTCTGCTCCTGCTGCAGAGGCTCCTACAGGGGGAACACTGGAAATCCTAAAAATATGCCTAAAATAAAATAAATATAATAAAATGTGTACAATAGAAACAAGTAAAAGTGTAAGATTTCATTCAAAAGCTAAGCTAAAAAGGTGGGTCTTGAGCCTACTCTTAAAAACATGAACGTTCTCTGCAGCCCTGAGCTCCTCCGGCAGGCAGTTCCATAGACGGGGGCCACAGTACTGAACAGACGCCTCTCCGTGCC